ATAACAGTACACATCAGCATTCTCAACAAGTACAAAGACTGAAATACCCCTTCACTAACACCACTAACAGGTTATAATTATAAAATAGACATTTTCAAACTAAAATATTATTTTTGTGTGTTTATATACTAATTTCTTTTTATTATTTTCTTATTTGTTAGGGTTTAATCAACACAAACATTGCTAAATGCTGTATGGAACACTCAAAGACTTTAAAACCTGAACCAATAAGTAAGGAAGAACATAAAATGTTGTCCAATCAACACATTTCTTCTTTTTCTTTACTAATTTTGTGTGTTTATATACTCATTTCTTCTTCTTCTTCCACCTTTTCTATTCTTCTTTTCCTATAACAGAAATAGGGGTTCAGCCCCTATATTTTTTGAATTTTCTTTTCTTTCTTCTTTTTCTTTTCATGAATATGTTGATTTTCTATACTTTATCATGAAGTTTATACTTTTCTTATGAAAATTATGGATATTTATTAAGGAAATATGATTATGGAACCTAGGGAACTACCCTAGGATACATGTTTTTACTTAAAAAAAATCCATTGCCTAGGTGATGCCTAGGCTCCCGCTGGACTAATTAMTGTGTCTTTTCGTCATAACACCTAAAGACTCACCCTTAACTGATGTGGAGGGGTTAAAAGGTTCTGTAGTTTTTTCCACCCCCACCTCCACATCAGTTAAGGGCAAGTCTTTAGGTGTTCTGACGAAAAGATACAATAATTAGTCTCTACAGCCATTTCCCTTGTATTTTTAGCCATTGGTCTCCTGGGAATTATCATATTGTTGTTCCTCTCCCAATCATCTTTGAATAATCGATTTTGGTGCCTCCAATAAAAAATTATCATTATTGCTAAGGATGAAAAACTTGAAATCATTGGTTTAATGACTTATCTATATCTACTTTTGCTATCTCATAGTTTCACCTTCCTAAAACTCTTCTTGTTCCTAAACTTACTACTAATTTAATTTTGTATTTTCGACTTTGACAACCTGTTTCTTTGTCGAATAAACACTTTAGACCCTAAAGGATTTTAAGGGCCATTTTTGCCCTCAGTCTATTTTGGAAAGGCCACTATAAGGCAAAAAACAGGCGACGTTAGAGACATCATTGACAGATCTGTTAGACAATGAATAAAATAATAAAAGCATACTTATGTGGCATTGCTCAAGTTTGAAAATGCCACTTAGACGCTAAAGTTTGAAATGCCACTTTAGATGTTAAAAGGTTTATTAGTTAAAAAATAAATTCTATTAACCTTGAAGTAAATTACTTCAAGGATTTTATCAAATTAGAGTTAGTAAATTAGCAATAATTAATTTAATAGTAAATAATTAACAATAATTAAGAGTAAATTTTTACTTAAGCACTAACTTAATTAGCTAAACTAGTAGTAAACTAACAATCACTTAATTTACTTAATTAACAATAACTTTACTTTTTTACCATAATTAGCTTTGATTATTTAATTACTTTGTTTCCTTAGCTTAATTTACTTAATCAATTAGTTAATTCACTTAATTACATGGTTTTAAAATCATCGTCACTTGGGCAATTGMACCATTCGACCTAGAAACCGATTAATTGTTAGGTTCTATTTTTTACTTGGCCTGGAGTTTTCCAAAAAAAGTTGACTTGGTTAGCAAACTGCTGACCTGAATGGTTGAACCACTGAAGTCCCAATTGATGATTTTTGAGGAGTTTTTAGTTATTCTTTTATTTTTAAAATTTTTAAAACATCATGGGCTTTTTGTTTTTTATTGATTGGTTTCTAGGTTGAACAGTCTGATCGCTCGAGTCAATGACAATTTTAAAACCACGTAATTAAGTGAATTAACTAATTGATTAAGTAAATTAAGCTAAGTAAATAGAGTAATTAAATAATCAAGGTTAATTAAAGTAAATAAGTAAATTAAGTTACTATTAATCAAGTAAATTAAATAATTTTAAAGAAATTCAATAAATTAATGTAATTAAGCAAATTGAGTTAATTAAGTAAATTAAGTAAATTAAGTATTGTTAGTTTGCTACTAGTTAAGCTAATTAAGTTAGTGTTTTAGTAACAACTTGATCTCAATTATTGTTAATTATTTACTGTTATATTAATTGTTGTTAATTTAATGACTCTAATTTGATAAAATCCTTGAAGTAATTACTTCAAGGTTAATAAAATTTATTTTTAACTAATAGACGTTTTAACATCGAAAGAGGTAGTTCCAAACTTTAGGGTCTAAGGTGGCCTTTCCAAACATGAGCAATGCCACATAAATGTGCTTCTATTATCTTATTCATTGTCTAATGGATCTGTCAATGACATCTCTAACGTCGTCTGTTTTTGCCTTATGGTGGTCTTTCCAGAATAATCTGAGCGAGAAAATGGATCTTAAAATTCTTGGGTTAGTGAGAGGGAACATGGTAACATTGTTGTCATGGGTTGTCAGAGCCGAAAATCCATTTAATTTCTATTGGTCAGACATGGTAACATTGTTTCTTTCTCTCATGATGGCTATTTGATTCAGGACTAACACATTGGGTTAGTGAGTGGGAAAGGGCGTAGGCTAGGTCAACTGTTTGCCTTGGAATTCAAGAAGACCTAGTCTTCTTCCACTCCATTGTGTCTGTTTTTGCCTTGGAGTTCAAGGAAACACATGTTTGTGTTTTATTTTTTTTACCTTTCTCTTTGATGAAAACTTGCAATCTAATCTAAGCCCTCCTGCGGATCTCTTTTGTGAGAATGAATTTAGTGCTTTAATTTTGTACTTTTTTATTGCAGGTAATTCCTATAGTTGGGGAGAGGTATAGATGCAAAGATTGTGTGGAACGAATAGGTTTTGACTTGTGTGGAGACTGTTACAATACAAGCTCCAAGCGTCCAGGTCGATTCAATCAGCGGCATACACCAGATCACAAGTTTGCGCTTGTCAAGTTAAGGTTTAGGTTCGTAGTTGAACGAGATGGTGATACTTCTGTTCAACTTGTCTCATATGATGCTTCGGAGGATCAACAAGATGATTCACATGTTCCCACTGATAAACAGTCAGATGACGGTTCTACTGTTCAATTTGTCTCCTATGATGCTTTAGAGAATCAACAAGATGCTTCACATGTTCCCACTGATGATGCTGCAGAGGGTAGGGAAGATGCTACACCTGTTCCTATGGGTGAATCTAGATGATCAGGAAGCTGGTTCTGGGTCTCCCACCTTCATCTCTAATACCAGAAGGCACCAATTCTGCCATGTGAAATAGTAAGCTTCAAAAACTCTGATGAGTGTGTGATGTGCATTGTGGAACTATTTATGTGAACATCATCAAAATTCAAAAACAATTGGAGACTGAAAAAACCTAGTTTATACAGATATTTTAAGAAAGGGGAAAATGATTGTTTGGTAGTTTATCTGTCCCCTCTTTTTTTTTTTTTTTTTTTAATAAAAATAAAAAAAAAACAAAAACGTTATATCTACATTTGAGTCAGTTGCATGGCTAAAGTCGCCTATCTAGTACTTAGAGAACTGTAGATGGATGCAGTCCTCTTGATATATCCTTTAGGCTGCTTTTCTTAATGAGTAACTGTAAATTTTGTTAGATATAAGAAAAGTTTAATGTACACAGTTGCTCCTTGCTTGRCAAGTGAATCAGCCAAGCAGTATGCTGATTTATTTACCTAATGATATGCCTCCAATTTTATTGACAGAACTTTCATTTCCTCTATACTGCCATAAACCATGGTTCTTAGTTCTCAGCCATTCCCACTACTACCTTTGAATCTCCTTGTCTGTTAGAACGAGTTATCTCTGCAACTACTTGACACAAATCYGGATTTGGGGAATTTCCTTTAGCTGACAATTTTTCTTTGGTTAGAAATTTGTCTATGACAGTCATGGAAACCACAAAGGAAATTGTGTCATCCTTCTGCTCATTGTATATCTTAAGTAGAGTGAGATCTTTTAAGAGAAATGGTCGTAAGTAGAGCCAATTTAAATGGGAATCAGGCCCTAAATTAGTTTAAAGGAGGCTTGTGACCACATTTAGTTAAAGGTGGCTTTGAAACTGAACTGGTCCCTTTATTTTTTGCAATGAACCAAATCAATTGGTTAATCGGTTGATTGTTTCAGTTCGGTTTTTTATATGTATAAATAGATAATTATAAATATAATACACACACCAGTTGGTTTGGTTAACTGCATTTTTTTGGTTTGGTTTCAGTCGGTTTGTTGGTTTCTCAGATTTTTGTGTGCACCCCTAGGGCTTATTAGGAAATCCCATGGGCCAATCCGTCTCTATCGACAACTTGTGGGTTCTCTTATTTACGTTGCTATGACTAATGCCGACAATACCCATGCGGTTTAGGTTGTTAGATTGTTTCAGCCCCTCATCAACCTCATCTGACTGTTGTTCATTAGATTATTAGGTATGTTTGTGGAACATTATCCCAAGGCCTTTTCTTCCTCCTCTCTTGTTCAATTGAGGGCATATGCTGATTTTGGTTGGGTAGCTTGTCCTGACACCAGACGCTTTATTACGGGGTGGTGTGTCTTCATGGGTGATTCCCTCATTTCTTGGAAGTGTAAGAAACAACAAACAATTTCCAAGTCATCTACAAAAGCAGAGTATAGAGCTATGTGTCATTTGTTTGCAGTGAGATTGCCTGGCTACAATCCCTTTTTGATAATCTCGGTGTTCATCTTCCTACCCCTATTCCTATTTATGTTGACAACACCAGTGCTATCAAGATTGGCTTGAATCCAGTTTTTCACAGGAGGACTAAATATATTGAGGTGGATTGTTACTTTATCAAAGACATTTTCCTTAGTTCTATTTCTCTTCCTCATGTGGCCTTAGATACGCAGATTACTGACATTTTTACTAAGGTGGCGTTTGACAGCGCTGAATCTGCTTCTTATCTCTAAAAAACTTGCTTTTTAAAGGTAATGGGCGTTGGGGGTCATGTCTAAAAGTGGATCTGAATGTCACTTTCAGATCTGAAACCGTAAGAGGTCACCTAGCTACTTAATGCGGTCAGAGGCAATTCAGAGCTGATAAAATATCCTAAATGCCTCCTATCATTTCTCAAATGACAAAAATTGCTTCTTTTAACCTAAATACAAGCCCCAATTCACTTCCCGAGTTAAAGCTTCAAGTCTCCTCCAATGTTGACAAGTCTACTAGGGATAGCTTCCAGGTAAAAACAACGTACTTTTTATTTATTTTTGTCTTCCTTCTCCATGCTGGCAGCTCTACCAGCGATGGTTTCCATTTCTCACAATGTAAAAAAACATTGAATTTTACCAGCGACGATTTCCATTTCTCACTTCGTAAACTCTCCATTAATAGCAGAACTCAAGGAACACTTTCTCCTACCAAGATCCTGGCCAGTTGTAAATGTTAGAGAGCAATTGTTCAGACCTTCTACCTCCAACCAGTCGCTTTCCCAAGGCATGAATTTTCCTAGGGCTGAAGAAGCATGGGCAAAATATGCATCTCAGTGTTGATACCTTTGGGAACTCTCACTTCATTTTTGTAGAACTGGTGACATCTACTGATGATACCGACAGTGGTTCCTTGTGGAAGTTGCATCCACCAACCATTTGCTATTTTGACTTGTTCAACCTCAATATTAAATGGCTAGATGAACTCTTCCCTTTGGATTAAAATGGTAAAATCCACCATTTTCAGATGTTGAAGGATTGATCTATCTCAAACAACTTGTTTAGAGCCTCTAAAAAACAGAAAAGCATGTATACCTCTTTTCAGACTTCAGAGCTAAATAATAGCTTTTATACTTTTCAGATTCCAGACTCAGTGTTATCAAACGACACCTAAGGCTATGACAAGAGCAAGACATCTCTTTCTTTAGGCCCATAAGGGCTTACTTTTAAATCTTTTAGGCTCATAAGGGCTTACTTGTAAGTATACATAATATAATAAAGGTTATTTGGGGGTAGGGGTTGAATTCATTCTTTGATACCACTGAGACCTGGTGTTAAACTCTCTTCTGTTCAGCTTGTTGTAATCAGCTACTAGGGTTGAGACCCAAGGTGTTAGAATGGGCCTAAAACACTAAACTAGACCAGTTTCAAATTGTTCTTGGACTTTGAGATAGGTGGAACAACTAAAACGCTGCATGTGATCCAAGATTTGATAATGGTGTTTTGTCAGTATCAAACTGACCTACTTTTGATATGCCAATCAGTGATACTTTGAGGGTCAACACATTGGTATGCTAGAGCAGATATGTGAGTTATCTGGGCAAGTGACTATTATGATAGGATCAACCACTTTGCTAGACAAAGAGAACATTTGTATATGGCAAGGAAATTAGTCTTATTGTTTTCCAATGATTGATATTTATGGTTGAGAGATCATGTTGCAAATGTTTAGTTAAGCCCAATTCCCTAATAGACATATATTAGTTATGGGCTCATAGGGTGGTTGAGATCCAAGTAGTTAGTATTAAGTACTAATAGGCCACCGAATTGTTTAAGCCCATTTAATTATGGACGTTCCACTCCTTATTAGAGCGAATTCGGCCATGGTGGACTCACTCTCACATCTCTTCAAGATAGGAGGTTGACCTATAATGGTTCAATCTGATGGCTAATGAGTCCCATGCCATACAAGAACACACTCTCTCTCTCTCTCTCTCTCTCTCTTTCCTATTCCTTGAGAAATTAGAAACTTTCTTGGACTGATTTGCACAAGATTACTAATCTCCTAGTATGACTGGGAACTTGACTGGTTTAATTAGTCAAGATAAGATTGAACTAGGAAACTTGCTTTAACCTAACCTTTCCTAATCTGTTTAGGATATTTCTATGGATTAAAGAAGATTTAAGGGAAGTCTATTTAAACCCAATAGGAGATGGGAATAAGCACTAGAGTCCAACCATTTTTCTAGCATTAACCAGTCCAAAACCTAGAGCTTTTACATAGGATCGAACTTGCAACTTGTGCACCCATTTTTCACCTTTCAAATCAGTCCTGGAGGAGCCTTTTGGGGTTTTACTTTCTGAAGGAAACCTCCATTACCAGCCATGATTGAGGCATCATATCACTACTGCAGCTCAATGGATCGAATTAGGCAATACCAAGGGTTGTGCCATCTTCATGTCGATTGTAAAGGAGAAAGAGAGGTTTGGTCTATTGGGCAGGAGCACCACTACTGTTCTTTGTATTTTGTGAATATTTACTACGAGGTATTTTTCTTTCTGAGAGTTTGAGTGTGATATGACATAATTGAAATCCAAGATTGATTGTTGGAGAAAAGCATGTTTTCTCATAAGTGATTTAGTGATTTTACCAGCTGATTTCTTTGGGTTCTTGAAACCTAATTGAATTTTAAAATTCACTACTTATCATGTGAAAGTCACATCTTGCACAGTGGGCATGTCTTGTGGTAGGGATGAAGTTAGGGTAGCTGATGGATCCATTTTTTACTATTTTGGGAAAACGAGACATTAAGCTTCATGATTATTCATTCTCTCTTCATGTTCCTTCTCAACCAGCTCGCTTTCTATTTTTAGTTTCTCTCAATATTGTAAATCAACATTTTTAGAATTTTGCCAACGGGGAATGATTGGTCGTTACAATACAACGAAGACCAGTGGCTATTTGAGTTATAGTCTTGGCGAGTTATGATACCCGGATTCCTATACAAGGGTGTCATGTTGATTTATCCAAAAGTGTGTTATCATGTTGTATACTTCAAATTTTAATGTAAATTTTATATTGGACACTGCGCCTAGAAATGTCCATATCAACTAACGTAGGTAAGGTGAGTTTTGTGGCATATCCAGAATTCATTCTGGCATCCTTGGCCAGGTAATATAATTATCTGAAAGTTTTGTGTCCTAATTTGTTTGGATCAATCTCTAAGGTCTGTGAGTTGTCCATATATTGTAGAAACTCTTTTTCTTCAATAATAAAGTAAGTGATTTCCCATTTAGTGTCATACATAATGTAATGACTAAACCATCCCTATGGTTGTATGCGTGCCATTTGTTTTGTCTTTTTTTTATCCTTTCCCTGTGAAATAACAAATAGAGTGGAATTTTATCCTTGTAGTCATCAACATAACAGAGTGGAATTTTAAGTTCATTCATCTCTAACCATCATAAAAGGGCTTCAAAAAACATTATAGAAAAACCTAGGAAGAGACTCGTGGGATGCATGGGCTGGTGCTAAAAAGATGCCCATGTTACATGAGTTCGGATGGGCTACACATTTGTTGTTACAACTTACAATGCCGGTTATACTCCCGTTACTCTTTTAGGGAGAAATGTAAAAGTAACAGGTGGGTTAACACTCCCGTTAAGGTTCGAAATATTGATACGCCTGATACGTCAGTATGGGTGTATCGGGCGAATYGATACCCTTTTTTACGTTTGTTTTTTATTTTA